TATTAGGATTGGCTACATTAGGGGTGTGTGGCCTAACATGCAAAGGAGTTCCTGCTACAAAAAAAGACCCTGGTTTTTGACAACAAACAAGGTAAACAGAATAAGAAGGGAAAGGTGGGTGTGGCTGGATGACCACACTTCTGGTAACATGGGTGTGTGTCCTAATGTGCTAATGAGTGCTGCTGTCAGGGTGTGGCCTAATATGCTAATGATCATAAGAACATAAGAGATGCCAATGTTGGATCAGGCCAAAGGCCCATCCAGTCCAACACTCTGTATCACACAGTGGCCAGAAATACCAGTGCCATCAGGAGGTCCACCAGTGGGGCCAGGACATTAGAAGCCATCCCACTGTTGACCCCCACAAGCACCAAGATGACAGAGCATCACTTGCCCCAGAGTCCCTATCTATACCTTGTGGCTAATAGCCACTGATGGACCTCTGCTCCATATGCTTATCTAATTCCCTTTTGAAGCCGAAAAAAATGAGTTTTGCTGTTGGGTGTGGCCTATTATGCTAATGAGTTCCTGCTGGGCTTTTTCTACAAAAAGAGCCCTGGTCAGCTCCATCGAGATGAAGAAGCCTATGAAAGTTTCCCATTCACAGTTAGCACCTGGTTACAGCAAAAGAGAGCTGGCACATGGCATTTCTATTTAAAGTACGGTAATGCTGCGTAAATTTGTCTCTGTGACGAATATAAATTAGCACATGCAAATATTGTTCTCCTCACTCCCCCTCTTTTATCCTCTTTGTTTTCTTTTGGGTCATCCATACATGGCCAATCCAGCTGGAAGGCAGCGTATGCAGCAGGAAGCCTGGGCTAGATGTCGTCTTTCTAAGTAAGACTCATTCCGCAAGGGACACAGATGCCACCGAGCGCACACTCAACCTGGAAGTGTAGCCAGATGTAGTTCAACTAGCACACGTGCCTGCAGGAAATACATCTGCAATTGTACCTTTGTCAGATTTGCACATTTATATATGTTAGGCATACACTTAAAACTGTATCTAAAATGTGTCTCAACTGTGTACTTTCACAATTGGTGGGGGGAAACAGGCTGTTATCGGTACACACAGGTAACGCTCATGCCTAACTTGTATGCGATGGTATCGCTTTAAATCTGCTCTGGTTAGACCTCGCCTAGAATTTTGTGTTCAGTTTTGGGCACCACAATTTAAGAAAGATATAGACAAGTTGGAATGTGTCCAGAGGAGGGCAAGGAAGACGGTGAGGGGTCTGGAGACCAAGTCCTATGAGGAAAGGCTGAAGGAGCTGGGTATGTTTAGCCTGGAGAGGAGATGACTGAGAGGTGACATGGTAACCATCTTCAAGTACTTGAAGGGCTGTCGTACAGAGGATGGTGCAGAGTTGTTTTCTGTTCCCCCAGAACCAATGGGTTGAAATTAATTCAGAAGAGTCTTCGGCTAAACATTAGGAAGAACCTCCTGACCATTAGATCGGTTCCTCAGTGGAACAGGCTTCCTTGAGAGGTAGTGGGCAATGCTTCCTCTAAGCTGTGGAGTCTTGTGAGCAAAAATTCTACTTTGTGAGCTACTGGCATTAAAGTTGTGAGTGAGCGATTTGGCTGCTGCATACATTAGTTTTCTCTGGAGCCATCCCTTCCTGAGCCAAGACAAAAATGTGTGAGCTGGAGGCTAAAAAACTGTGAGCTAGCTCACACTTACTCAGCTTAGAGAGACCACTGGTGGTGGGCTCTCCTTCTTCGGAGGTTTACAAACAGAGGCTAGATGGCCATCTGACAGCAATGCTGATTCTGTGAACTTAGGCAGATCACGAGAGGGAGGCTGCAGGAAGGGTTGCATCAGTGCTTAGTTCTTTTGGCCCTTTCTTACACGCCCGGGGAAATGCCGATTGCCACTTTGGGGTCAGGAAGCAATTTTCTCCAGGCCAGTTTGGCCGGGGACCCTGGAGGGCTTTTTGCCACCTTCTGGGCATGGAGCAGGGGCCACTGGGTGTGTGTGGGGAGGAGGTATTTGTGAATTTCCTGCATTGTGCAGGGGGTTGAACTAGATGACTCTGGAAGTCCCTTCCAGCTCTATGATTCTATGATGCTCTTTGAGGATTCAAAGCATTAAGCTTTCTTATCTGAATAATCTCTACCAACAGTCCAGTATATTCGGTCGAAATGATTATTCCTGTCTCACAGAGCCGGGGGGAGGGGCTTCGTGGTTGTAGTCTGCCAAAAGACGCCCAGAGAATTCATAGCTTTGAACCGGGAACCTCCCAGCTCAGAATTCACAATTACTATGCTATCCCTGCTCTAGACAGGTGGCTTTGGATATATCTACACCAGTTCTTGCTATGTCCCTAAATATAGGCGCGTTAAGCAGACTCACCTCCCGGACTGCTCGGGGGTGAAGCTGCGCTCTGGCCGGGGGAGGGGGCGCGCAGGCTCGCGAACCCCCCCAGGGACCCGGTGAAGGGGCCCTGGCCAAGGAACTTTTTAAGAGGCGGCCTCTTTGAGGGCGGAATGCCCGAGAATTGAGGCGCCTCTTAGTTCCAGTGGTTTCCCGTGCCATGAAACCCAGATGAGACTAGTGGCGCTAACTGGAGCAAGCGTGGGAGATCCGGCGTTTGAAATGAAATTTGGAGCAGGGTCAAAAGACCAACAATGAACGTGAGTCAATGCTAAGGCGATTTAAAAAGAAAATAGTCAGCGTAGCTTAGATTCTCAAGCCCTGCACACCTCCAACGTCCTTCCCTAGGATGCTGCTAGCACTTTATAACATCCTCTCCCACCAACATCCCACAATTGGGAAGGGGCCGTGGCTCAGTGGGTAGAGCAGGAACTCCTTTGCATGTTAGGCCACACACCCCTAATGTAGCCAATCCTAATGAGTTTCTGCTGTTAGGTGTGGCCTGTTATGCTAATGAGTTCCTGCTGGGCGTGGTCAACTTGGGAGCCAGCCGGAACTCCATTCCTGTGCGTTCCTGCCCAAAAATAGCCCTGGTTCTACGGTTTGGACCAATAAAATGCTAGTGAGCTGAACAGCTGTTTGTTTCTGCAACAGTGAGAATGTAATTCAGGCTCAGGGTAGGTTCCAAACAAGACAAGTCGATCTGCACACAGTACAGATTTACAATTAAAATTTAAAAACACATAAAACAGTTAAAATTAAAACCTAAAACAATCTAGTACTAGATGTACAATATGCCTTGACAGATGATGTTGGTACCAGCAATGTAGACTCTGTGGCCCATATATATATACACATACATACACATACATACACACACACATTGCGAAACCAATGCAAATCAAATTTTGTGGAGTCTAATGAGGCACTTGTTTTTATTGGATCCTTCCAGCAAAGGAAGCAAAATAGCACACATCAAAGACGATCCCAAGTGAAAGTGCCTCTTGAAGCGAGTTTGCCCGCCCTGTCTCTCGGTCTGCAAATGGCTTGACTAACTCCTCTGTGCTCTGCAGTGCAGGTGTGTCGGGTGGCAGTTCTGCTACTCTGCTACTCTGAACTACACCAAGTGGATAAGCGTGCCAACCTCCAGATGGAGCCTGGAGTTCTCCGGGAATTACAGCTGACCTCCAGACTACATAGTTCAGTTCCCCTGGAGAAAACGGCAGATCCCAAGGGCCAACTCTACAGTGTACCATAGAATCTAGGCGAAATCCCTCTCCAAATTCTCCCCACCACGGGCACTGCCCCCATATCTCCAGGAATCTCCCAGGCCAGAGTTGGCCACCCTACATGACATGGACCAGGATCAAAAATAAAACAGGGCAGAGATGGGGCAGGAGTGAGTGACAAAACAGAGCCTCTCGTTCTTTCCTGCAGAGGAGAATATCCGTTATTATATCTCATTATATCTCAAAATTATATCTCAAAACTGTTTAAGAAGTCACAAGATTAGAATCAGGCCTGTGTGAATGCAGAGGACAAGCCATGTAGGGCAAACTTGTTCTCTGCTGAGAAAATATGTGAGGGGCAGGGGGAACACGACCAGAGTCAACAATGGTTCCCATCCCTTTTCATATTAGTGGCAGATATCGACTATAAGACAGTCGAACTTCAATTCTGGTGCCTTCAGACCTCTTTCCAAGAGATCAGGTCAAGTTGACAGTTGCTGAGTGGGCCTTCCTCCCCTTCAGGGGAAGAAACAGTTAAGCCCAGTGGCCCAGCTGTGAGGAAGCCACGTGATGGGTTGCTGAGTGGGCCTTCCTCCCCTGCAGGGGAAGAAACAGTTAAGCCCAGCGGCCCAGCTGTGAGGAAGCCACGTGATGGAAAATCTGAAGGGGAGGGCAGAGAACAGAGCCAAAGAGCTTTCGTAAGTGCCTAGAGGGCAGAAGTTTCCAACCGCAAGGGAGGAAGCAGCAGGTTCCCTGACCAACTGCTGCATGTTGGATGCAAAGAGAAGAAAAGAAGAAACGAAGGAGATCACAGTGATCCTATGCCAGGCGATCCCCTGGGAGGTGGGACCCTCCCAAGTGAACTCTCCAGCCTTTTGGTGCCACCCGGCACACCTGCACTGCAGAGCACAGAAGAGTCAGTCCAAGCCATTTGCAGACCGAGAGACAGGGCGGGCAAACTCGCTTCAAGAGGCAGAAAGGAAACTGTGGAAGGACACCGCTGGCGATGCAGGCAGAGCGAAGCCTGCCCCTGTGCCGATAAGGGTGTCCACTATCGGGCGCCTGACACTCTATCGCTGCGCTTTATCGAAGCCGCAGTGTTCAGTGAGCCAAAAATAGCAAAATCAGTGAGACAGAGGAAACCCAGTTTCTAAATATGACTCAAACTGATAATGAGATGTCATGTACCAATAGACGGAAGGGCGGATCACCTGCTTTGGGAACTCATCGTTCCCTATAAGAAAAGGGTACAGGAGTTCTTAAAAAATGGGAAATGAAGAGGAGAGATAGATAGCCATGGGGGACCAGCCAGCCTGAATGGGAAAGACGGGGCGAGGGAGGAAGTGAGGTGGAGTGGTCAGGATAGGTGAGTTGCCCGCCTTCCACCGTACCTTTCCGTCGTGGGATCCGAGCAGTTCAGTGGATACTTCAAGTCGATGATGGTCCCGTCTTTGTCCTGGAGGGATCCCTGCTGCTGGGTGTAATACTCCACCAGTTCGGACAGTGTGGCAAACTTCTCCCCTCCATAGAGGTCGTAGAAATCCCCGGTATTCTGGATACGGATGTGTGTCACCTGATCACCAACCCTGCAGAGAGAGGCAAAGGGTCAAGAAAGGCTGATGGAATAAGAGGACATGGGATGGGGGGGGAGTGTGGTGGGTGAAGCGGTCTCCGGTGGCCACACACACCCCAGCCCCACCCTGGGAGTTCAAGTGACAGGAGCCAAAGGGGCAGGGAAAGGAGAAGCAGGACTTAGCAGTAGCTGTTTTCAAGGTCGGGACTTAGCTCTGGAATATACAGTAGGGCAGAAGTCCCCAACAACAGTGCCCATGGGTGCCACAGTGCCCCCTGGTATTTTTCCTGGCACCCACCAAGTGTTTTTAGAAAGGGGGCAGGGCAAGGTGGGCTCAGGTCTGGAGCTACTGCGGGGCCTCTCAGGGCCTGGCCCCCTAATATACTGCCAAGCAGGGGTCATTTCGTAGAAAAAGAGCTGCAGGAGCTCATTAGCATAACTCATTAGCATAACTTATTTGCATATGCCACACTCCCTGACATCACCGGAAGTGTGTCAGAAGGCAACACCCACCGCTCAGGCTCCACTGGACTGTTTTGGATTGCTAGCTATTGGGGGGGGGGACACACAGATCTGTCCTCGCAGAGGAGGGAGAGCTTGTACCTGAATAAAACTTGGTCTTAAAGGTGCCACTAGACTGTTTTGGACCGGGGCGGCGGCGGTGGGGCTCTGCAACTTACCTGGCTGCTTCTTGCTCTGACTGAGAGCTGCTGGGAGCAGGGGGCAGGGCTTGTTGCATGTGCCCGCCCCCTGGGCTCTTTACTGCCGGAGCTCCGCTCCTGCAGGAAATGACCCCTGCTGCCAAGCCCCCTGACTTCCCATACAGGCCAGGCCTCCTGACTGACAACATTTATTTTGCATTTCGTTCAGAGGTCTGTGGGCTGACAAACTGTTTGGGAATGGAGGATGCATTGTTTATTCTGGTTGAAGCGAGTGCGTGTGTGCCCCACAAGAAAATTTTTTGCCCCACAAATCAAAAAATCCTGGCTACGGCCTTGGGTGGGCTTTTGCCCAGTAAGGCTTCTGATTGGCTGTGCAGTTTTTTTTAAAATGTTGCTTCAGCAGCAGCTGCCACCACGGCACAAGGATCTTTACTGTGCAATGGAAGGTCTGGGGCAGGATCCGCCTCCTGCAGCGGCCATTTTGTGGCAGCCATTTTGTGGCTGTGCCCCACACCGTGTCAGAATTCCAGAATGCCCACATGCTCAGAAAGGCCGGGACCCCTGCAACAGGGTTTACCCCACCACACACACACACACACAACTCCCTCAAATCAAAAAATCCTGGCTACGGCCCTGGGTGGGCTTTTGCCCAGTAAGGCTTCTGATTGGCTGTGCAGTTTTTTTAAAAAATGTTGCTTCAGCAGCAGCTGCCACCACGGCACAAGGATCTTTACTGTGCAATGGAAGGTCTGGGGCAGGATCCGCCTCCTGCAGCGGCCATTTTGTGGCAGCCATTTTGTGGCTGTGCCCCACACCGTGTCAGAATTCCAGAATGCCCACATGCTCAGAAAGGCCGGGACCCCTGCAACAGGGTTTACCCCACCACACACACACACACACACATCCCTCATTCAAACCAGAGCACCAGAGAAAATGTTATAGTTCCAAATCTAAATGGATGGTGTTCCTAGAAAAGCGGAAGTCGGTTCTATTACCGATCCCGCTCAAACTTCTCTGGCTGCTGTTCATGCCGCCTCCTGAACATGAACAGTGGCAGCTTTTCTTACTTTGGAAACAAGCCCAAAATTTCAAAGATGGGCTGAGCCCTGTGAAATTAGAGCTGCTGCTGAAATTTTCAAATCCAACTTGCAGCCGGGGGGGGGGGCAGGTCTTCCTTGGGTGTGGGGTCCATAGAACTTTTGCAGGAGGAAAACCAAAGATTTCCTGCAACATTTCCTCCAAGAACATGTCTCAGGAGGGTTTGGTACAAAGCTAGGTTGTCACCAGATTTCACCTAAGGCATAACTAAAAGCAAACTGAAATATATCAACTGAGTTAGGCCACTGATCTGCCGTAGGGTTGCCAGATCCCCCTTGCGACCAGCAGAGAATGGTTGTTTTTTTTTGCCAGATCCAGGCTGGGAAACCTCTGGAGATGTGGGGATGGAGCCCGGGGAGGACAGGGACCTCAGTGAGGCAGATCACGAGAGGGAGGGCAGGGAGGGTTGCCTCAGGTTTTGTCCTCAAGGTAGGCAGAACTCGGAGTCAGTGTTCCCTCTAAGCTGAGTTAGTGTGAGCTGGCTCACAATTTTTTAGCCTCCAGCTCACAGATTTCTGTCTTAGCACGGGAAAGATAGCTCCAGAGCAAACTGATTTATAGATGTAGCCAAATTGCTCACTCATCACTTTAATGCCAGTAGTTCACAAAGTAGAATTTTTGCTCACAAGACTCCACAGCTTAGAGGGAACAAACATTGGTCAGCGTATCAGTTACTAGTGGGCGGGGAAGCCGAATCTGGAATAGGTGCACGTGCAGTTATCTTGTAACCAGGGCTCTTTTTGTAGAAAAAGCCCAGCGGGAACTCATTAGCCTAATAGGCCCCACCCAACAGCAGAAATTCATTAGCATATTAGGCCACACACCCCATGTTCGCAGAAGTGTGGTCATCCAGACACACCCACCTTTTGCTTCTTATTCTGTTTACCTTGTTTGTTGTCCAAACCCTGGGCTTTTTTGTAGCAGGAACTCCTTTGCATGTTAGGCCACACACCCCAAATGTAGCCAATCCTAATGAGTGTCTGCTGTTGGGTGTGGCCTATTATGCTAATGAGTCCCTGCTGGGCGTGGCCAACTCGGGAGCCAGCCGGAACTCCGTTCCTGTGCGCTCCTGCCCAAAAATAGCCCTGGGTGTAACCTTTTTTAGGCATAAATACCCGGCTTCGGCCAGGGGCTTCTCAGTCTCCTTTCTCTTGCTGAATCACTAATAAACTATGAGCTGATCACTTGAACGTGTCTGAACCCAGTATATTTCACTGGTAATAGCCCTCCAAGGTCTCAGGTGGAAGGTCTTTCACGTCACCTACGACTTGGCCCTTGGAACTGGAGGGGCTGGGGACTGAGCCCAAGACCGTCTGCGTGCAAGCCAGACACTGCCATTGAGTCTGGGCACCTCCTCCCTTGCCTCCTACTGAGACCCTTGCTGATGGTGGCTCTCCAGAGTCCCGAGGAGAAGTCTTTCACTTCACCTCCCACCTGATCCCTTTCACTGGAGGTGCTGAGGGATTCATAGCCCTTGGAGGGTCTTCAAGCATCAGAGGCACATGGAAGGAAGCCACGAGAATTTAAGGAAACATGTGAAACTGGACAGAAAGGGGGAAAGGATTCACACATCCCAAGCGGGCTGGGGAAAGCGACAGGAAGGAAAATTGCAGAAGGCCCTGGCCATCAGCCCAGGAGCAGCAAGGCTAAGAAGAAGAGATTGGATTTATACCCTGCCCTTCACTACTCAAAGGTGCCTCAGAGCGGCTTGCAAACTCCTTTCCCTTCCCCTCCCCACAACAGACACCCTGTGAGGTAGGTGGGGCTGAGAGAGCTCTGACAGAAACGGCTCTTTTTCAAGAATAGCTCTTATCAGAACTACGGCTTGCCCAAGGTCACACCAGCCTGGTGCAAGTGGAGGAGTGGGGAATCAAACCCGGTTCTCCCAGATTAGAGTCCGCACACTTAACCACGACACCAAACTGGCTAAGAGAAGCTGTTGAAGGAAGTCCCTGAGAGGAGGCTCGCTCTTCAAGCCCAGTGCCAGGAAAAGTTTTTGCATGCTCCTGACAACTTCCCAGAAGCAAGCACCCTTGAGGAAGTGTGTGGACACTGAGGGGGAGAAGTACAGTTGCCACAAAGTAGGCTTGTGTATAGTCATAGTTCCTACTACTCCTGTTAGGCCAGTGGGCGGAAGAGGAAGGAACAAGGCCATCTTTCAGAGCACCAGACAGATCACTTGGGTCTCGGCAAGCACAGCAAGTTCCATCCGCAGCTCTTCAGAACAAAGGAAAGGTGAGCCTCGGCCTCCGGTTCTGCTGCTGGACCTGCAAATGGGCCACGACTCATTGGCAGAGCATCTGCTTGGTGTGCAGAAGGTCCCAGGTTCAATCCCTGATAACCCCGGTTGTTGTTTTTTTTTTAAAAAAGGACCAGGCAGTAGGTGACGTGAAAGACCTCTGCCTGACAGCCATTGACACTCTGAGCAGACAGGGCTGACCTCAATGGACCGATGCTCTGGTTCAGCATATCTAATCTAATAGTCTAAACTAAATGTTGTATGATTTTTAAAAATAAATATTTAAATACCAAGTCTACGTGGTTTGTTTGTGTTTTTTTATATTATTAAACGCTCTTAGATGCTCTAATATCCAATTTTCTGTTATTTCATACATACACAACGAAATCAGCACCATGGTGTGTGATTTCCCAGTTTGGCAGGCTTAGAGAGACAGGAGCAAGGGTTTTTTTGTTGTTGTTCAGTCGCACAGTTGAGTCTGACTCTTCGCGACCCCATGGACCAGTTCACGCCAGGCCTTCCTGTCTTCCGCCGTCCTCTGAAGTTTGCTCAACTTCATGTTCGTTGCATCTATGACAGTGTCTAACCATCTCATCCTTTGCCGTCACCGTCTTCTTTGACCTTCAATCTTTCCCAGCATCAGGGTCTTCTCCAGTGAGTGCTCCCTTCTCATTTGGTGGCCAAAGTATTTGAGCTTCAGTTTCATTATCTGGCCTTCCAGGGAACAGTCAGGGTCGATTTCTTTTAGGATTGACTGATTTGATCTTCTTGCAGTCCAAAGGACTCTCAAGAGTCTTCTCCAGCACCATAGTTCAAAAGAATCTATTCTTCGGCGCTCGGCCTTCCTTATAGTCCAACTCTCGCAGCCATACATGACTACTGGGAATACCATTGCTTTGACCATGCAAGGTAGCCCATCCCAATCTCTACCCCTTCCTTCACCTCTGTCTACCCCGTTCCCCCTGTTTCTCCCCTCCCCTTCCAAATAGGCCCCTTTGAGTCCACATCCCAATTTGCCTCACAGTTCTCTGGGTATTTT